TGAGAATGGTCATCACATGGTGAGAGTATAATCGCTATGATGTTGGCAAAATCATCGGCATCTTTCACAGTCCGAGCAACAGAAATTAATAATAAATAACCGGAAGAAGTGTTAACCTGGTGCTGATACCATTGGAATAAATCTTGTATTGCTCAAAAGTCAGAGGCCTACTCGTAATATGTGATGTATCATTAACACCATGAACTCTAAGAGCCCCCACCCCACCCTCCCGGGGAAAAAATGAAAGCTGAATTAAAAACGAAGGTCGGTTTGACACTACCACAATGCTCTGTGGAAATGAACACAAAAAAATGGCTGTTCTTGCATCACTTAAATGATATCCCTCCGCCACTTGTTTACTCCTAATATCCGTAGTTCTCGGGTTTGCGATACTTGCTGTTCATTGCGTATTGGATGGCTTTCCCTAACTGCTTTTCCATGTCGTCCTTTGACACTTGTTCCTCGACCATCTTGTTGAATATTTTCTCCGCCGTCTCCGCATCCATTCTGCCTTTGCTGTTTTCTTGTTCTAGATATTTGTATATAGACTGGGCCAAGTAGCGTTCGCTGGTCATATAGGAGTCTTCGTATTCAGATCCTCCGTAGTCGTAGTACTCCATGAATACCGATTCTGGAATCTTGTTCTGTTCGTTATCGTCTTCTATTATCTCATCATCACCGTCAACTTGCTCCACGATCCCTTCGTTGTCTTCTAAATCGTCAACATTTTCAAGTTCTGTAGTTTCATCCTGGCCCACATTCGGGACACCGTCGCCAATATCGGGTATGTCTACATTATTATCTTCGACGACGTCGTCTTCCAAAACGTCCGGTCCGTTGTTCAGCTCCAGCTCCGCCATGTAGCGATCCAACCATTCGGGCGACTCCTGGGTGCCGTGTAACACCAGCGTCCACTCACTCAGGACACCGTCATGTTCCGGGCCGCCAACCATCTCAACTTCCAATACCCATTCACCACTTGGATCTTCTCCCCAGTTGTGGGTTGTCATAAAAGGCCATTTTTCGAAACCTTCCTCTGCATCGTCGTCATTGGGACGACTGCTCAGTAGGATACTCGTTGTTCCAGCGGGTGATGTCATGTTTATGTTGACGTCCCCTCGCCTACTGGACTTAAGAGTAACGACGCCTTGGACGTGTTCCAGATAACGGACGTCGTTTTCCTGGCCCTTGCAAGCATCGGTATTCAAAGTAATCCGCAGCTTTTTGCCTTCTCTGTTGCTCGGTATTTCCCTGCAGAGATAAAAAATGTCAAAAGTAGATTTAGATATCAATCTTAAAATAATTTCAACATTATTGAAGATCGTGAAGATGGATAATGTATACTGTTTGTACAATGGTTTCAGAAAAGCCGTTACATAAATATAGAACAATTATAAATTCGGTGACTGAGGTTGACCAATCAGAACGATCGGCGTAACGTCATGACAGGGACGACCCAGTCTGCGCGTGTGCAGCAGGAGTCATTCAATAGACGTAGATAAAAATGTGACTGGCTTTGCGGTTGGACACATCGCGGAACACCGCGCGAATTATTATAGCCAATATTGAGTTATTGGATTTGAAAAAAACGTTCGATAATTGTGTTATAACCTACTTATACTTTTTTGAAACGGCATTTCTGAAACCACTGTATTTCCAATTTAAGCATAAATGCTTTTATTATACACCCTGTGTTAAATACACATGTTACAAGGAGATAATATTTTCATTATTATAAATCCAATAAACACGGCATAATTTGAATATATTGCAGTTGAAAAACGTTAAGACAACGTGTTTTGTTCTGGAAACAATAATACATTCTAATTTCGTCATTTTGAAAACCCCAAGTTGAGAGAAACACTCACGCTTCTTCCGTGTAACTTGCACCGGTACAATGGAATCGTTCCGGTACTGCCTTCCAATTTTTGGCCTCTCTAACGATAGAACCGGCGTCCAATACACCAAAGCCGAATAAGTGATTGAATTCAAGCCCGACTCCGTTAGTGCGCCATTGGTGCACCTCGTCATATAGCTGGTTACGTTTGGACGTGAGGACAGTTAAGTGCTGCATGTCCCGCCAAGTAAGGTTACGACTGCAAAAAAACATAGAATGTTATTCATGTTATTGACACACAAACTGTTAATGAAGAATAGAACATTTAAACTCGCATTGTGAGTTCGTTGAATATGTATTGTGATTGAATAACATGATACGAATAAAAATGTTTTTCAATTCCATTTATTTTAGAATCAGGAATATTGTTAAAGTCATAGTAACAGATTTGAATTCAGTTTATCATTTAATTTGTATTACATCACGTGCACCCGATAAGTACCTCCAGAAAGTACGACTGCAATAAGCGCATTTTTAATAAGGGTTACTAACATATGCAAAGTATTTTGGTTATTTTTCGTTACTGCTGGTGAAATGTAACGGGGACTACGCCATCCGTCAAATCAAGTGTATGACTGTTCAGGTAACGAACAAGTAGGCACCAGTAAGTTTCGACACATGATTAGGGATTACTCACTTTGCCTCTAATGCGAGGGCGAATACGCCAGCTGCTTCAGGGGCGGCCGCAGAGGTACCAGAATGCTGTAATGTACACTTTCCGTATAGATCTGTAGTGGCCTGCAAACGAAAAAAAAATATCATATCTTAGAACTAAATGAGTTAGGCACTAGTGATCGCGCATGAACTCCGTTGTTATAGACAGTTTCAGAAATCTATAGTCTGTTCGATCCGTGGAAAAACTTTAAATTATGTCCCATGTTGTGTTAAATAAAACGTAATCTTGTAAAATAATTCTGAGCTTTACTCACAACACCGGCTTCAGGGTGCCTGTTTCTGCCGTTACTGAAAGTCGAAGCTAGCGTGGAAGAGCACGATTCGTCGTAGAGGGCAGTACGTCCGTCATTGATGGCGCTATTAATGGAGATGGTCCACATGCTTGACGCATACCCATCGCAATTACAGTCGTCAGCAGCGCCACCATCGCCGGAAGCCCATACGTAGATACTTCCAAGTCCACCACGACCCTGGAAAGTGAGTACATCGAACGTTACACAACATGTATTATAAAATTTTCACTGAAATTTACGAACTTACGCAAGATAAAACAAAATGACAACTCTCGCTAAAATGTACCTCATTTACGCCATTCGCTATGGCTTTCAGTGTCAATTCGCGTGGACCGTCCACCGTTCTTCCATCGTCCTGTGGACCCCAGCTGGCACTGTAAATGTCAATTAGTTGAGGTTCGTGTCCCATGGAGGATGATTCGATCAAATCCGTCATATATGGCTGATCTAACATTCGAATACCTGCAATAATCACAATAGGAAGGTATATTTAGTCCTTTTAGTGCTGTCGAACACAAATCCCCGTATGCCCACAAAGTAGATATTCGTTTTAAGGGTAGATATGTATCGTAAGTTCAATCTTCTAAAATTCACTGAACTCACCCGCAACTTTGGAATCATATGCCACGCCTACTACACAGACAGAGTTGTTGGCAACGGCCGATACTTCCCCCGCACACCGCGTACCATGGCTGCAAGAAAAACGACGTCACAAATCAATATCATTAAGCACTCTCATAATCAGCGTCTGTGAGGCGGGAAGTCACAAGGGATGAATATACGGACAGGGATGGGATGAGTAGGGAAGAAGCCGAAAATGAATTTGAAATAAATTTCGAAAATTTAAAGCGGGGGAGTCGTCACCCGCGCATGCGTTTGATGGCCATAGCGTGTCATTGTTTACAAATAAGCGTATACCCATGAGCCTTTGCGTTTTTAGCGTGTGTTGTTATCGTCCCTTGGGACTTAATTCCCGCGCGTGCGCAGTTGACGACCCTCCCGCTTTAACCAACAGTTATAGCTCTGTATTTTATCAAGAGTATAGCGAATTCGAATGCACTGAACACCAAACCATCCGAGTTTGTCGTGTGCGATTTACCCGGTTGCAACAAACCAGACTGTAGTGTACCGCAAATTCATTCAAGGAAGTAAATTATATGTTTACCTATTGAACCAATCTTCGGTATACCTCGGGTACGGGTAATTGTCGTCACTGCTGAAATCATAACTAGCCCCCGCGTGGTAGTTTGGCGCTATATCTGGATGCCTGTAGTCAATACCTGGTGATAATTTTACAATAAATAAACAATAAATTGTCGTGTAATTACAAATGGGTTTGCACTGACGTCCGGTGCGACATTTACGCGCGAATGTCTTGGGACAAGGCATGACAATTAACGATTGGTTGTATTTGTATTGTTGACACCGGGTATCTTCCGGGACTTTCTACCTCGAGTTTCACGTCCCATCAAAATTAGTTCACATTATGGAAATTGTGAGATTATACAAATGTGTTACTTACCGTCGTCCATGATGGCTACAACAACTCCTTTCCCCGTAAAGCCCTGTCGCCAAGCGTCCTCAACGTTCAAATCAAGACCAGGTTTGCCATTCGCCTGGCCGGTGTTTTTCTAAGAATGAATAGAAAACAGATTGAAAATCAGTGCTATCCGCCGTCGGTTGGTGCCACAACCAAATACCTCTCATACGCCCTCGATTTGAAGAATTACATTAAATATCACCCTTAATCGCCTATCCTCGGGGACGGAGCTACGACACGGACGTTCTACGTTGCTAAGACGCGCACCACTGTACCACGTATTTCTAAGGGCTTTGTGCGCGCTGCTGTGGAACGCCGGTGGAGCCGGTGAAAATTCGAGAAAACAACACAAACTCAACTTTGAAGTAATCCTGAACAACCAAATTCATATATGTTACACACGTAGGGCTAATCTTGTTACACTGTTCAGGGCACTCTCAACAACCATCGCAAAAGTACCGTTTTCTGTAAGTTTTTGGTCTTTGTTTTCACCGCGAAGGTTGCCAAGCGGTAGAAAATGCCCGGATGTCCGCCCCCGAGGATAACACATTGAGGAAGTAATCACCCGAAAAATTAACGCTACGACAATGTATCAATACAAAAATGCCCAGTTTCAAATGTAAACGAGCATATAGCGCCACCATATGTCCACTTACCAAGTACCATTGTTTTTCGAACAGTTCGTCGTTGTATTTGTTATTCGGATCTACTTTATACGTTGAGGTTTTTGTGTCTGCTTTTACACCTTTATAATTTCTCTTCGCACGTTTAAATCCCTCTTGCTGAATAACTCGCTCCACCTGCATTAAAAACAGACTAGTGTAAATCTTTTACATTCAAGCATATCAAGCCACCTCAGTGACAGCAACCCTTGTCTGGCGGATAGTTTAGATTGAACTTTACAACATGCACAATAGACCAATTTCCCGGGAGTAGCGAGACTGGGACGGACAATATTCCCGCTTTATCATGGCTGAAAATACAAACATGTCAGTTTGCTGACAGCCGATAGAAGGAAATTTTATTTTTGTGACGTCGATTGGTACACCAGAAGCAGAATATCACGAGTACAAGTTTATGTCACACCCAAAAACGGCATGCGCGCGCTTGCGAAACGCCGTATCTTTGACTTCCGGGAAAGTCGTCTATGTATATAATCACGTGTTTGATAATGTTTAGATGGGCTGCATGTCTCAATTTTCCTGAAATGGTTTAGTTAATGACACCCATTAAAGAATTTACATCAATCGATCGCTTACATATTTGCCTATATATATTTCACAAAGTTAAAACATCGAGGTGACAGGATATATATGTGTATATACAGTTCAGAGAAACGTTTTGAGTCTACATAGCACTATAAGATCCACGCATATTCGGTTCTCGCTACTTGTTATTACTCATTGAATTTATTGCTGGTTTTGGCATTAAAGTCGACGGTTGACATGGCAACACACTTAATAAACTTTTTTAATTTCGCTAAGCCTTTGACCGTCGGCTTAGTTGTTAATTCCGAAGTCATACATCCTAAACAAAGTGACAAGTCTTACACAAAGCATGGCGATTATCCGTATCTCCGTCATCAGATCGGTTCAAATATAACTCGTAAATTCAAGTAATTTTTTTTTCTCTCTCAAAAGAACTGATCAAGGAAGTTATTTACAATCGTGTATGTTAGCGTATTACGTATAACGATAGGATATCTCGTCGTATCTACTTTCAACTCTTTTATTCGTGCTTGCGCGATTCCCATATAATCACCAGAATATCTCACCGCCGATGAAGACTTGACTTATCGTAATGGACAAGCTGCGATATCGAGTCTGAAATCATCGTCTCCCATGATGCATTGCATTCTGTAATCCATCATACTAATGTTTAAAAAACAGAAACAGTACGTGGCCACGCACTACTTTACGCACGTACACCGCGGCGAATAAGGTACACGCGTACTTTTTTTCCGGGCAATTTCAACAATTGAGTCATTAGGGGTAAACAAAACAAATTGTGAATAGTCACATGACATGAAAATGAGCCTAACCAGAAAATACTATTCGACACGCCTAATTTCTTTACACAGGAGAACGTTAGACGCACGTGTTAATGTTTAATAAATTTTGAAGGACGTTTCAAATGCAGTCTTATATTACGGATGTTCCTGTAAACACAAATGTGTCGCGAGAGAGTCTGCAATTCGCTGACTGACAATTAATCACCGTTCAGGTGTCCATTGCGTTGGTATGGTAACGATATGCAATATTATACTATGGAGACCTCATGGTTGTAGGCAAATACGGTGACAAACATCTTGGCAGATGTGTATTAACAATGATTATCTCATTTAAGTTTACGAGAAAGGGTATATATTCATAAAGATGATTTTTTACATTCAAGTTACGAGTGACACGTGGCCATGCCGTCAATTGTAATTATTATTTTTTCTAGTTTTTATTGTGTTCTATTTTGACATTGTATTAGAGACTTGTGCTGAAATAAAGCGAATTACTAGTATATGACATGTTGCTAACGCCATCCGACGTGACGCCACACGGTACGCCGATGTCCCCCGAACTACTATGCCGAACTATATCCGTTCATTGAAATGTAAATCCAATGAAGCCACAGAAACGTGATTCCATTAAGACCACATTGCCCACCGATTGATGAATGATCTTATTTGAAATAAGACATCACCTGTGACTTTTGAGAAAATCAATTGTTATATTTCATCGTAGCTACTTGCTGTGATTCCCCGCCTTCGCGGGTCAGAGATCAAAGGAAATTACATCGGATCAGAGTGTGCACACACCAGCTGAATTTTGAGATGTTTTCGTCACGTCAACAACAACCCTCTCTCTTATAGATGCACTTATCCACAGATACGTCTTCGTCGTTTCGTTGATTTGTCCATATTTGAATATCACACGATATCCACACCTTTTGTATCGTAATTGATTTTGGAACCAATTTGACGTACATGACGTCACTACTGGGGCTCGTAAATACAACTTCCTCGAGAAATAAATTAAATCTGCAAATGCACTTCTAGGAGATTTAATTTTACAAAAGTTACATTCCATTTCAAGGACAAAAAATAACTCGGGATTCGGGAATGTCAATATGGACTTAACACAAAAGTATTTTTTTCCCTTTTAATGTTATGTTATTTTTGTTAAAATGAAATCTCGATGTTCCATTAGCATATACATGCGATGTTATCACAAAAACAAACATTTCATTTCTAACTTTTTCGTATATTTTAGAAAAACATCGCTTTCCCACTTTTCTTCGCAATTTGTTTTTGTTGCATGTAAGAGATGAAAGGATATACATCTATTTATGACCTCGCGAATTTATCCATTTTTTTATTCACAATGTTACTGAATTGACACGTGGCACGCGATATATAGAAGAGTTGCGCATATCCGTGTTCCGATCCTATTTCCAATCACCATGTTCGTTCTCAGTGTATATTCATATAAGTCTCATTACAGACCGTGGCATGTATTCCGTGACAATTCGCTACTATGTATGACGCACGTGAGATGTCACGTGTCTTTGCCGAAGTATTATATGGCGGCATGAATACAGTGAATTTATTGAAGTAGACAACTAACGAACACGACGAGCCGATTTTCCAGTTGGTGAAACTCTAATCAATTGTATGTAAAATCACGAAGAACTTACCAGAAAAAAACACACTGTGCTATTTAAAACTTAACCAATTCTGGAAATACAACGCTTTTATGGTTTACCATGTGACATGACCAAAATCGAAATCGGGATCGTGATGAGATTCGAACAACGCCTTACGAAGTCGTTACATTTTTTCCACTCTAAAGGTTACGCATACCCCAAGGCAATAAACGTAGCTCGTAAATACTTTAAATTTAGAACTTGTCCAGAATCATTTATCCGTACTAGTGAACAGAAGAACGATTATATCATTGTTCTTCGCATGTATAAAACATCGTTTTGTTACACAACCCGTGTGCCGTCAGACTGAATTTGAAGAACGTTTATTCTTAAATACTTCCGGGTGGTGGATTGGCATCTTTGTCCTATCCTTATTATTTTACTTAAATTAAAATATTCCACCTAACCTATTGAAAACGGATTTTCATTTTAAAGATAAATTCTTCCAACAAATCAATCACAAACACGTTGCTATAGACAAGCTCGTTTATATCCCCTTCCTAACGTTATGTATAAATTACTCGCCTCGCTACAGTGTTTTTACTCGTGGTATTCACATTCACCATGAACATCACGTTCAATGTCACGGTAATCAGGATATTCGAAGCAACGTCGAAATCGTTTCTTCTTCTCCTTCATCATCAATGAAGATCGTTTATTCCCCGTGGACATATCTTAGAAATTACAGTCATTGAGCCGCTGTACGGAGAAATGAAGAGTCCCTGCCATTGTATAAGTTGATGGATGGCGTTATTGTGAGAACAGCTGGCTCCGACAAATTGAGCTTGCTTCTACAAATGACCCTTAATTAATTCTACTTCGTGTGCAAGCGGAGAACAAAAAATAGATGTGAATTAGATTAACAATAATCCAAAAACTTGCGTCACCATATCGTACAATATCAACATTTTTTTCAAGTTGTACCATACGCGCCTGAAATGTGTTTTTAATGGATTTGTTAATTATCAATCTCAAATTGGAGCAATTTTCGTTGTTTTCTTTTCGAGGAGTTGGCAATCAGATCAAGACATGTCTAGCTCTCTCAAGATGTTACAACCGTGTACGATTTCATAATCTCGTCATACTTGCATGGCAACCTTTCGGAATACGTATACTTTACATAGGAAAGAGAGTGATGCGTGTATTGAGATTAAAACATAATATGCACCTCGTATTAATCAGCAAGTAAGTACCCAAGAGATATCTGTTTTCATGTAGGACTTGTGAGCAAAGGTAGCTGTATTTATTTCCGTCATGTTTGTGGAAACAAACAATACACTTAAAGCGCGGTGGTCGTCGCGCAGCGCGTGTTTGAATTTCATGTAAATAAATAATGTATTTTACCCGCGTTGTATACGTCGCTATGAGTCCCATATCGAACAGGACGCGTCACGACGACTGCCGCCCTTCAACACACGCTGTATACGTCGAACGGGAACCCGCATTGAACACGTGACGCGACGTGACGTGACGTTATGAACACTACGCTGATCACGCTGAAGCGTTGTGTACGCCTGCGGCCCATGTTGCCTATCGACTGAAACAAACATTGCTATACTTCATCGACCAACAAAACGAGCACGAGTTACTATATGTAGTTTCACGTGCAAACGTGCTGGCGCGGGTGTTGATGACACTGTACAACGTACTCCGTTTATCCGTGTCCTATTTGTATTGTCAGCTTTCTCAGCCTAACATAGCATATAGAGTTTGTATAACGTGAATTGAATTATTGATTCTGCGTGAGGTGGCATTTACTATCAAAGCGAGAAAACGAATGAGTCTGTACCAACCATCAGTCGGTCCCACCGTTCTGCGATACGCCGGTCATATACCTTTAATACAACGGTGAATTACTAACTTGTTATATTGACGGTGGATTCGTAACTTTGTAAACAATACGGCCATTTTAAAAGCGTTACAAATTATAGATATTTTGCCGGCGAAAAGATCCATCAATTAATTTAAAATGAAAATAAACTAATAAAAGAGAGTGTTTCCATGACGTTTTCCTATAGTATTAAACCCTTATAGTTTAATGGCCATTCTGGATTGTAAATTGGTCAATATTCATACAAGTGGGGTTCATAATTTCAAAACAATTAGTTAAGTTATTAATTATTTTCTACCGACTTCAATAGGTACAGGGAACAACTTAATTCCCGCGTCAAAATTGAGTTATTGTGTGCTGGCTCATCGCGTGACTAGACTCTGAACTCGCGCAATAACATCTACAATCATAGTCTTCCTATCCTCTATATAGAAGTACTGTGCTACAATATTATATCGTGACACGAACGACGACAAAAAAAACGAAGATAAACGTGATGTTGTCGACTCAGCTAGGACATGGTTGGAAGCTACACATCGCGAATCATTTTAGTTATCAGCTGAAACTGGACCAAATTAAACACCAAAGTGATAGTGGCCGTTAGCGAATTCAAATGACAATTAAGGCTGATTCGTATTGCAAAGTGCTTACAATTCCCCTGGCTGTCACAGTGACGTCATGACATAGTCCGGGCGGTCGGTAAGTGAGTTCCGTCCGTATAAAAAAAAAACAATGTATAGTTGGGATACCCGCATTATACAATCCCCACAATAATCAGATGAAGCGAGCATTTTGTGTCATTTCAACTTTAGCCAGTTAGAGCGTTTCCCATTTAAATTACTCATCCAATTAGAGAACACTTTACTTCCGATACAAATTTATTGTTTGAAACACGCATTCTGAGTGGCCGTTCGAAATTGTGAGATTTGAAGGAGACTTCCTTTGATAGTTGGTAATGTCTATGTGCGGTTTTTACAATAAAACAAAAAATGCCGAAAAAGTAAAATAAAACCACAGAACGCCAGTACGTATAGGTAAGATTGGGACGCATGCGCATTCGATTTGTTCAGTATCCCATCAAACGAATACAGCTCTGTTCGTTGCGGCTAAAACACGAGTTTTATTTTACTAAGTATGAAAAATGATCTCTTAATATTTCTATAAAGATGAAATATCAAAACAAATTATTTAAACATATCCATATCCAACTTCTATTCCTAAGCCAGGAATGGGATTCTTCATGTTGGTGAAATATGCATGCATGACCCGGCTTTGCTTGATACCCCCGTGAACTTAACTCAAACATGTTTCGGTGAATACAAGAGAACTGGTGATGGTTGTAGAACCATAACTGCCTCAGCTCAAAGATTGTTATGTAATAAAGGGGAATGTGAAGGGAAATGTATTGTAATGTTACCTCTGTGTAATTTACAATATATCTGCATTAACATTCACTGTGAAGGATAATATGGGAGTTGACTTAAATTACTGGTAGCAGCAAGGCTGGTCAAATTTTGCGAAATAGTAGTTAGAATTTCCAGATACGCAATCGACACATTGTGGGATGTCAAAATATGGATGATAAACAGCAAGTGATATTTCCAGAGATGTAGTTGGAATTGAAGCAAAGGAGTGACCTATTAACCCATGAAACATACTCACACATATCCGTACATATCATCCTGTCTTATTGTGTGTGGGCAAAGCTGTCATGCACATAATCGGAAAAATATGTTATTACTGTAAATAATTATGAACAATAAAAACTGACATTTAGAAAAACTATGAACAATTAATAAGGAAAATATGTGATTTGCTATGCAGTTTCCAGAAAATTATTACAAGTCCCAGAAATGCATAGAGTCGTCAAAACGTACAGTTTGGTGACAGTTGGGAATGATACCAAGATTTAACAATTCCATGAGAACATCACAATGTTCTTTTAACACATGAAACGGATGTGCATTGGTCGAATTTTGTATAGTTTCAATAGGCATACAAGCACCTGTATATATTTTGACAATAAACCCCTCATTCACATTGTAACAAGTAAGTGTTGTATAAACCCGAATGAAAAGTCCGGAGTCAAGGTGAATACTTCGAGCGAGTCACCCCTCTAAAAACGTCATTACTGTGCCAATGACATTGAACTTTGCTCTTCCATAAATCAAAATAACCTTGATACCCTGGCGAAGCATGTCTTTTGTCTCACAACGACAGTCCCAAGGGATTTTCGTCTTCTCAATTTCTCAAGATAAACGTCCCAAGGTTGTTTTGTTACTAGAAGGACATGTCTTTTGGCAGCATTTCTTGTATTAATTTCCATTGCACAAAAAAGTAGCAAATACTGTTACTGAAGCACAAAATTTGCATGAATTTTTCTCCCCGGCCATTCACTCAAACTGCAAACGAAGTCTATTACCTCATCCATAGTTGTTGACACTTTGCAACCGCCTAGATGGATGTATTGTGACGTATTTTGACTCCGGATTCTGACCTTGCATTCTGGCTACATTTACTGCCCTTTCATACCAGTTCAATTTCCTTTCATTATTACATCCAAATTTTATTATTTAAAACCAACTTTTATTTCACAGTCACTTTAGTTTTCACTTTTCTAAAATTGTTTTACTGATCAAAAGACTTTTCACTCCCATCATGCAATTTCTCATAGTACTTCCGCAGACACAGTGGCGATCGCCAAAATAACTACAAATAACCTCGCTCTCAGAAGCTGAGGAATTACAAAGTGAAATGTCAGAGACGCTATGTTGATACATGAACACCGTGATACATTTCCATACACGTGTATTAACAACTTTTGACGTAGGCAGGAAACAACGCGTTTGTGCGTCTAACAGGCCGACATGTGTTTAATTATGTTGTTCGACACATCGCTGCTACGAGAGGCATATAATTCAAAAATTCTACTGATCAGATCTAATCTCTTTTTTTATATAGGCCAATATTTCATCATGTGTTCACTAAATTTAGCGTATGTACCGTCACTAATAACTTTATTTATAGAAACATGTATAGTCTCTTGATAAAACCAACACGTCCAACTCAATCATGATTGAGTGTGCCCACTCGTTTTTTCCTTTCTTTCTCGAATTCTCATGCATTACAATTTAATGTGTTAGTCATATTGTGTAATACTTGTATCAAAGACTGTGAAGACTCTTTAAACCCTGCTGAGCCGACAAGATTTTTGTGGTGAAAAAATAGAAAAATAGAAATAGAAACAGATTCGTCAAAGTGTTAGCATTTTCTTTCCATGGACACACAAACAACACACAAATAGCTGGATAAGACAAAACAGCGAAAGTATATATATGGTTCCATTCATACTGTGTACAGTAAACTTAATTATGCAGTATATGTAACCAAAATAATCCGATCGAGACTGATACAAAAGTAATTCCATATCCGAGTTTCATTATTCTGCATATATGAGTGGGTTTGGGCCAACCTAATATCAGTCTCCGCTTAATGTTACATTTTGCGTGTATTACCTTGATCGTAATCTAGTGGAATTTCAGATTTTCATTATTTACGTTAGACAAAATCATCATCACCAGAATTTTCTGATAACTCATCGTAATTTCGATGATATTTCTGGGTAGTATTATTTGTCATTTAACCTAATCAACCTTCTTTTTCCTTCTGTATATTTCGCCACTCCACGACAGTCTTGCTAGGGGGGGGGTGATAATCTTATAAAACAGTTTTGCCTAACAGTTTTGTCTATTTGTCCTTCAACAACTCTTGTTCTAGTATTTCCAATTACCACGCGTGTTCATTTCATTCCGCATGTTATATTAGCGGCGACTTAAAACGAATATCTCCACAGTTGAAGCATACTTCTTGAGAAAATTGATAAAAATCCCATGGCAATCTTTAATATTTATAGCAACTGTTCACTTGGAGTATTAAAGCAACATTTTTTATGTGGAGAAATTATTTTTAAGAAGTGAGACAAATAACATGCAGAACGTCGCGACGACAGTTTTCGCCATCGAATTGTAGACCGTTATTTTATATTTTAATTTCATTCTATAGCCTGATTTTGAAAAATAATAATAATAAATATGTTTCATCACTTCACCAAATTTAAAGTTGCGCGAAGAATAAATGGCGTGAGTGGTCTTTAATTTTACTCAGAATCTTGTTTTTCGAATGAAAAAGGATGTCTTACCGCTGGATCTTGTTGTAATAATTCGATATGATCAATACTCCTTTTCCGCCGATGCTGGGGAAGGTCCTCGTGTATAAAATGATGGTGGCCCTCTAGTGCCGTAATCTGGGAAAGAAAATAGAGAGAATACATTATCAGCATTGCACAGGGGTGACACCGCCTTACGGATCCCTAAACACACACACACATATCCGACACATCATTATAACGGCATACAGCGGTTATTTAGAAGAACAAGATTGGTGTTGCGTGACTTGAATTAATTAAGATTTGGATTAGTAGTGAATCTACTGGTGTATGACAACCTTTCAGAGCTCTGTGGTTGTCATTAGCGAGTGTTTATATACGGATAATGTCTGTTTATCCCCGCAGCTCTCGTTATGCGGTAAAAGGTCAGATCACGGGGTCTCATTCGAATACCGGTATTATGAAACAGTCCCGTCAATCAACTCGTTTGTATAGTACAAAAATTGAACATCGTTGTGTGTACATACACAGACGACAATCAATGATTTAATTGAAGCGCCGTACAACTGTAAGATTATATTTTAAAGATGTTTCAGGTGGTCGTCGCCCCGACGCGTTCTGTTGGACTAGGGTCTATTACGAAGCGTAGAACGGAATTTGACGCCCACCGCCCATTACTGAGTTACTATTATCTTTTTACTATTGCAATTCAAGTTTGCATATTAATATATTTATTTGCATATCAATCTCTACCAGATGCAATATGATAACTTGTGTTGTATACATAAAGAATGATATAAACGTTCTGCTGACGCGCAACGTATTCGTGTGTTGAACTAATGAACTACGCGTACGCTTTGAATTAATAGTACATACCAGTATTTCGAAGAACATGCGCATTCGCGATATGTTCAATTCTCAATGGGTTTTGAATATGGTTGTTCCGAAACCCAGTGAAAAGCAATGTAGTACTTGAGAGAGTTTCTATTGGTTATTAAATTATCATCTATAACGGGCTATGACTGAGATGGTGATGTTGTTTTTTTTTCAACGCAAAGTGATGACGTAGTCTGCGTAAAGAATGACGTGCTCGGTCAGTACAACTTTGTTGATATTTAGCTGTGTGAACTGACAGCATGTACACACGTACGTGAACAGTGTGAAGTAATACATAGCGGCGGCAATTACATGTCTGAAGCAACCATGTTCAACTGTATTTGGATGTAACGATTTTCCGGAGATCGAACTCAGGCTAATCACGGAGTGGGCGGGAAAATCCGACCAACTGTGGCGAAAGCAAAACATTTTATTTTCCAAATGTATATACGGTGATTACAATTGTCAGGTTTCTCGAGACAGATTAAGTGTTAACCATTTGAAAACGAGTGGGGGGATCTATTAAAGAATTTCCTGACTTTAGGAATAGCAGCTGAATCTCACATCCGCCCTTTTCTAATCAAAGTGTGAGTGATTCTCTATTTCATGGATGAAATTTCTCCCAACATTTATGACAAGGATTCATTTATTTGACTTGTTGAGCAGAATTGGACCCACCGAATTGTGCTCACCATTCGCTATACATTCGTTCGACGGCAGAAATAGAAAAATATAATCCTTCCGAACTATAACCGAAATAATCCCATGTAAATCAGTGTGAGCATTGAAATGTATTCCCATACGAATATTTTGGAACACAGGTGCTATTTACAGTGATATGCACAAAGCTGGGACTGAAGCCGATCATCAGTATTCATTCAAATTCAATTATAGTGATTGGCTCACGGGTTAAATATTGTCCACGCCCATAATGCGCGCGCATGCTTTCACGTGACGTAGAAACTACGACCGCCCTCATATTCAAAATGAGGCGTTTGCTGATTGGTCAATGTTTAACAAGCTCTTTAATGTTAACTAGAACTAACGCTGATGTCACAATATCAGTTTCGGATTGGTCAATTTGAATTCTAACATCTACTTCGATCTATCGAAATCTACTTTTATAAAACGTTAAAATGACCACAGCTTTATGTCCATTATTACATTATTTATGTCCTTTTAGTTTAGTAAAGATTTTGCCTTCCCAGATTTCACAAAAAGAACCTGAGGCTGAAAAAATGAATGAATGTGCTCTGACGCCGACAAGTAATCCTGGTGATCCTGACAGCTGGAATTCAAAAGGTAGAATTTACCACAACCAGCTTAGACTAAATTTGATCTTTGTTCTTGAAGATATCGCTGTTTTTGACAGCCGTCGATGGGTTACATCAGGATAGTCGAGCCCGGAGTTTTGTGTTTCTTTTCGCATACTGCGTGTATCGTATCATTTTACAGTTCTTGGAATTGTTCATGTAATATGAGCACAAATTGCAAAGAACAGCAATTAGAATCCTACGAGAAAAATCATAGTAAAAAAACACACACTAATCTGTCTAGAAACTTAGAAGATGCAATATCGGATGAGAACATTTTAATAATTTTAATATTGTAGTGTATATTGATGACTACATTAAACTATGGTTTATGATGAACTGAAAACTCTAATACGCATGGGCACTGGGTGTTTTGGTACGTACCATAATAATTACTGCACATGCGTACTTGTGGTTTTGATTCTTCATCTAACAAATACTGCTAAGTGTCTTGCAAACATTTTTAGTTGATGATAACTCATAGTCTACAGTATGGAGTACCGAACAACAATATTAAACAATAAATGTTTTCGTCCATATTGCATTTTTATTAAAATAAAATGTGTCCCGCACGGGTATCACGACCACGAAAGCAATATAGGTAATTTTGAGTATATTTATTTAAATGATTCACAGAAAAAAATGTTCCTATTATTTTTTCAACTGAATTATTTTCCATTTTCAAGTGTTTGAACTGAACTTCGAGTCAAATTTTACCGATTGTGGTACATTTCTAGCGAATATGGTTCCAATGGGTGGGGACGACTTAGTTTCAAGGTCTGGGTATACCACAATGCACCGTGTACGGACATTTCAAAATTCATAATCCAGATACTTGAAGTATTACTAATTAGTGATCCTCAATGAATCAAACTGCAAATGATCAAAGATTAATTTTAAGATGTGTCGAATGACTTGGACGTGAGCGTGATCGAGCCCATACGCGATTTAGGCTGATGGCCGGGTGTTATGACGCGGTCACCTTCATGAACATTTGGAGAAGTGTTCCGCTCATCATCAGACTTGATGTCAACATTTTCTTGAAAACCGCCAATTTTCAACTAAAATTGGTTTCTCTGAATTGCGCTATGAATACATGTGCCCTCAAACCATGGAAGTGTAAAATTTCAGGCAAAAAAAAAATGTAAAAGTAATGAGTGCCTCCCCCTGGATTTGATAGTGCCAAGACAATCATGGCTGGGTTAGCTGTATGCACAAACGGCAGTACTCAGCTACCCCCCCCCCCCCGAGATTGACTAGCACCGTAGAAGAAAGATACGAGTTCGGATGCTAGTACTTTGTACACTGAAACATCTAAATTGTAACATGCGAAAAAGGCCTCGCATTTTCGATTCAAGGCCAAATTCAATGGATTTTTTAAAAATCTGAATCGGATGTTTGTAATTTCCCATACACTTGTAGTAAGATCAATGTGACTACATACACTCGAAAGATTATCTGTAGTTCACTGCCATGATTTCACAACACATATACGATGAACTTCGTGCAACAATTCGTGATACTGTTCAAATATGCCGGACGTGTTCAAACATTTAAAGCGGGGGAGTCCCCACCTGCGCATGCGTCAGACGGCCATAGCGTGTCATTGTTTACAAACAAGCGTTTACCCATGAACCTTTGCGTGCGTTTTTAGCGTGTTTTGTTTGGGACTCAATTCCCGCGCGTGCGCAGGTGACGACACATGTATTAACTGACAGTTAAAACGCGTTGCCAATTTAAAGTAATTTAGAGCCCCTTTTCCATTCACACCGCAGTGGTGCATCAGATTGCATCAATATGATGGATGTGGCACGGCGGAAATTGAGACGGTAGTCAAAGTAACAAACAGGTCGAATTCTGACGCCAGTACTAGCGTTACTAAGTGATCTGCACAGCGAATATCTAAGAGCTGAGTGGGGTCGAGACTCGTAGTAAATTGTTTTTTAAATTTGAAATACGAATCACAATAACAAATCGACACAATTTGACATTGGTTGAAGTTTTTTAAAAAGTTATGCGTAGTGCTAATAGTGTCACGTTTTTAATGCATCGCTAGCATAAAAAGTGTTTTTGAAATTTCGTACTCGCAAAATGAGCGCCATGGATCAACGCTTTTTTTCTGAAAATGGTTGGTTTGCTAACCCTAAACACGTAACGCACATTACTCGATTTTATCCAAAATGAAACTATAACACCCACGTGTTTTCTGTACCGCCCACCCATTTGGATCCGAACCCCCTCCCGGGAGCGTTCGGTAGAAACCAAGTTGTCGGTGGCAGGGCGTATCCCATGACTAAAATAAATTTTTTGAATGCGTTATTGAGCGCGATTAAAGCGCTACGGTCGTCGCACCGTACTACGGGACCCATAGCGTGTAAGATAGTTTATTTGTTTACGCAAAATTCGAACGCACGCGCTGTGAGGCGAATGCAGGGCTTTGAATTAATAATCACTGACGACATTTCGAGCCATGTGCTTTTATCAGTTGTATTACAGCTACCTACAATTGAATTAATCTAAAATATTAAGAAACATGGAACGCTCACCATAACTAATGCAATACTTTTAAATTCAGAGACATGCAATATGTATGTAATTTCCCTTGTGAACCAGTATTGTACATTTGACGCATCAAGAAAATCTCGAGAGAATTTCCTTCTCCCCACAGGACTCGTACAATTATCTCTCCCCCTCTGAAACTGATATTATTTTTCTCGACAACCGCCACAAATGATTCCAGTCGTAACCGTTGCTCTGTACTATGATTTTCATATTCCGAAGTAGATGTATGCACCCCGTGGCCATCAATTATACTACGGACGTCATTAGACATGCTTTGATTGGCAAGACTCGACGGCTACTGGGAAAGACTAGGACTCCATGAAATCTACGCACACGTTGCCCGGGGCACTCGCGTTTCCAGTAATGTTAAATCGCATGCCGCGTGGG